ACAGATGCAGAAGGGACGCCCGTGACACACAAGTACATTCTACATGAACTTCATCTCGGAGGCCAAACCAGCGCCGGGGACCTAACGGCGTGCCTCAAGCTTGCTCGTGATTTTGTCACTGCGCTTCTCGGCAGCATGGACTGGCGCTACAAGGACCCGCCACTTTGAGCAGCAGCAAGCTCTTCAAGCAGTCACATTACCCACGGTCGCCCAACAAGCGGCACAGGAAGTGCCTCGCATGGCTTCACTTGCTGCGGGACATGTTCAAACGGAAGCCATGTATGCCAGTCACTTTGCCAGGTGAGACGATTGTAATAGATAGCAAATTCGTTGATAGTTGTGTGTTTGTGCAAAGCTTTCATTAAAAAAAAAACCATGATGTAACCTCTTCCCTTCCCTACCTCAGGATTCAACAGGGCGAAAGCGCAGCGTAAGCTGAAGAACTTCACCACCATCCTCTCAACTCACCACAACGACCTTGACTTTCAAGATGGACTGAAGCGAATGCTCTCTACACCCGACTGGACGCACGCATATCCGAACCTGGTGAACCTCTCGATCGCTGTAGACGTTCTTCCTCTGTCAACGGTCGAGTACGAGCGTGGATTCTTGCACCATATTATCATAAAGAGCTGGCCTCGTGACAACCTCTGCGACACGAAGCTGTTAGGGCTGATGACGAAGCAACTGGAACTTCTGGTTCGTCTGAACTTACAGACCGCCAAGAGTTGCTCATATTTTGTTCAGACGATTTTTTTCAGGGAGTTAGGTTTCAGACGGGCCTAAATCTTACCTAGAGCCCTGACCACAAGGTGACAAATCTGAAATCAACCCTGATAAAAACATCCCTGTTGGTGCGGAGGCGACTTGGGGGTGGTTTGGCTGACGAAATAGGCCGAAATGGATTGTCGCGTGATTCTCGGGGTTGTACTTGTTGGAATAACCGAAAGGTTATTATAAGCATTCCCGAAGGCTTCCCGCTAAGGCGTCAGTTCTTAACAGAACAACGTACTGTACCAGTACCGCAATAGCTCAGATAGAGCACGCGGAAGGTCGAGAGTTACCCGAAGGTCAACAGTCGAAGACAGTCAACAGTCGTGGCTCTTGACCGACCAGTAACCGCACGACAGTTGATCGATGCAACATGGTAACTGTCGAGAATAGCAACAGTCGTGGTTACTCTAGTAATGCAAAACCGTTAATAAGGGAATGTACCCTTCAGAGTACATGGCTAGCTAGGATTGCTATTTATATCCTTGTACTCTTATTTTATAACCATCTTGTTCTCTTTCAATTTATCAACAAGGTCATTACAAGACTTCATAGTCTTCTTTCAACCTTGACAGACTTATCCTACTCACTACGATCCTTACGTTATAACAACAGTACTTGTTAGATTCTAGCAGCAGGAATGATGCATTGAACAGAGATGTGGGTACATATGCTAACCCTAATTTGGGTTGTACCCCTTATGGGCTACCCCACTACAGCCTACACAGCACAAGCATGATTATAGTTTGACACACCCCCATAGGCAAAGTGGGGGAGAGCAAGGGGTCACAAGACCAGTCAAGAGAAGCAAAGCAAGCTCAGGGTGGATCACAACGTCACCACACACACTGAGCACAAGCAAAGGGCCACAAGGCCAGTTCACATGCAGAGGTATATATGCAACAACAGCATCACAGTGATCTCTACCTAGCAGAGCAAGCAAGCAGGTATATACATAGATCACAGTACAAACAAGGTCTACAACAAGTGAGGAAAAGCGGGCACAAGGCCTAACAAAGTGCAGAAACGCTGATGATCATTAGACGGAAGTGCCTTGGTGAATATATCAGCAGTGATGGCCCGAGTGGCCACGTGAGCAAGACGAAGCTGACCTCGCTGCTGCAACTCTCGAGCTAGGAAGTAACGCAGAGCGATGTGCTTCGTTCTGTGCTCCAGTATGTGCTCCTGACACAAGGCAATGGCGGCCTTGTTGTCTATGTACAACACTGGAGGAGAACGAGGCGGCTCTCCCAAGTCGGTCAGCAGGTAGGTGAGCCACCATGGCTCCTGTGCAGCCATGGCTGTGGCGTAGATCTCAGCCTCACAACTGGAGCCGAGATCAGAAGACGAGCGTGTAGACCGCCAAGAAACAGAGCCAGAGCCAAGGCTAAAGGTGTAACCCTGTGACGACTGCTGTGTAGCCTGGTCGTCAACCCAAGAAGCGTTCGAGTGCCTAGTGAGGACAACTGGGCTCCGCCCTCCAAGCACGAGCCCCATGCCCGATGTACTGCACAAGTAGCGCAGTACCCTCTTAGTAGCAGCCATGTGCCCCGATCGGTACCTACCAGGAGCCACGTAGCGAGCGAGAAGGCCAAGAGGGTACGCAAGGTCAGGACGAGTGCAGGTCATCAAGTACATGAGGCAGCCCACTAGCTCTGGGTAAGGACCACTCGGCTCTACGGACTCGTCCGAAGGTGGAGCTGAGAGCGAGTGACCTGTAGCCAGAGGAGTGTGCTGTGGCGAGGACCAGGTGAAGCCGAAGCGCTGAAGGACCTGCTGCACCATGTGTGACTGACTCAGTGTGATGGTGCGGCGTGCTCTGTCCCGGGTGATCTGCAAGCCAAGGTAACTGCGCAGCTCACCCAGGTCTGTGCACGTGTGTCTCTTCTGCAGCTCCGACTTCACCAGGGCAAGAGCCTCAGTATCCGCAGTGGCAAAGACCAAGTCGTCGACGTACACGAGGATGTAGAACGGCGGCAGCGAAGTGTCGGTGCGCAGAAACAGCGACGGGTCAGCAGTAGAAGGCGCGAACCCAAGAGCCGCAAGTGTCGTCCTCAGTGTGTCGTGCCACTCACGCGGCGCCTGGCGGAGACTGTAGACCGGCCGCCGGAGGCTCCACAGGGTACCAGGAGGGAACGACCCAGTGAAGCCAGGAGGGCGGCGCAGCCAGATCTCCTCGTGCAGGCTGCCCTGTAAAAAAGCTGTCCTGAAGTCAAGAGAGTGAAGCTCGTAGTCACGCTGAGCGGCAACGTGCAGCAGCACCCGAAGAGTGGTCATCTTCGGGGTGGGGGAGAAGGTCTGGAAGAAGTCAACTCCCTCTCGCTGACTGAAACCTCGAGCAACGTAACGAGCCTTGAAGACAGGCGGAGAACCCGGCGGCCGCTTCACCCTGAAAATCCACATGCCACTGACGATGTTCGCCCCAGGAGGGGGAACCTCGTCGACGTAGGTGCCTGTGGACTTCCAGGATGCCACCTCTGCGTCCATGGCTGTCTGCCACTGAGAGGAGTACTCACCCGCGATCGCCTCAGCGTAAGAGCGCGGGGTCGGGATGTCTGGAGCATCCGGGTCTCCCTCAGGGGCAAGCAGCATGGACACGAGATGAGGCGCAGCGGCTGCAAGACACTCAATGTCCTCCTGTCTGTCCTCAAGGACGTCCGTGCCAAGAGCACACTCACCCCCGACGGACGGAGGACAGACAGACTCAGACTCAGCAACAAGACTAGCGGCGTAGTCTAGACGACAGGCAGCAGCAAAGTCAACAAGCTCAGCGACTAAGGCAGACGCAGCAGCAGACTCAAACGACGGGTCAGTGACAACAGTGGCTAGCAGACGTGTGACAGTAGGGCTAGCAGCACGAACGCGGTCAGACTCAGGTTCAGGAACGGTAGGCAGAGAAGACACAGGAGGGGACGGCAGGGGAACACGCTGCGGAGGAGAGGAAGGACGACGAACTACGAGGTGGGTGTCGGGGACAACCGGCTGACGCGAACGAGGAACACGACGACCGAAACGACTAGAACGGACAGGCGAGACAGGACGCGACGCAGGCTCACGACGCTCAGTAAAACCCCCTGACTGCTCAGTGTAAGGAGAAGGAGCAGGCAGCGGTGAGCCAGGCTGTAACGGAAGACCAGTAGACGAAGGGAGACTAAGAACCTGGCGAAGTACAGAGTCAGACGGTGGCTGAGACGACGGAGACGGCGGAGCAAAGAACAGGCGCGGCTGTGCAGTGCCACCAGCACCAGCAGCTCCAGGACCCCTAGCAGCTCCAGCACCTCCAGCAGCACCAGACGAAATAGGCCGAAATGGATTGTCGCGTGATTCTCGGGGTTGTACTTGTTGGAATAACCGAAAGGTTATTATAAGCATTCCCGAAGGCTTCCCGCTAACGCGTCAGTTCTTAACAGAACAACGCACTGTACCAGTACCGCAATAGCTCAGATAGAGCACGCGGAAGGTTGAGAGTTACCCGAAGGTCAACAGTCGAAGACAGTCAACAGTCGTGGCTCTTGACCGACCAGTAACCGCACGACAGTTGATCGATGCAACATGGTAACTGTCGAGAATAGCAACAGTCGTGGTTACTGTAGTAATGCAAAACCGTTAATAAGGGAATGTACCCCTCAGAGTACATGGCTAGCTAGGATTGCTATTTATATCCTTGTACTCTTATTTTATAACCATCTTATTCTCTTTCAATTTATCAACAAGGTCATTACAAGACTTCATAGTCTTCTTTCAACCTTGACAGACTTATCCTACTCACTACGATCCTTACGTTATAACAACAGTACTCGCTAACGAGTGCTACTGTAAGGATTTGTAAATCCTTACATCAGGATGTAATTGAGTAACCAGTTTTTCGAATTCCTAAGGAATTTGATCATGCCACATTAAAATGTTCACTGAACCTTTTATAGAATGTTACTGGGGATAGAATACGCCCTGCACACTCCAACGTTGGGAAGCAACACGTGCATGTTGAGGGTGTGTGTGCAAGTCGGTTCTTCCAAATCGAGGCGCGCAACTGCGAGCCGCATAAGACGCTGTCAAACTGTTTGTGGCATTCCAACCTGCTCCAACCAAACCAAACAACAGGCCCTCCTGGAATTCCACCCAATATATCCCTTCATGCCTGTCACATTCATCACCAATCAAGTCTCCAGCTTCAATCAATCCTTGTGAATCCTTCTTCTCTCACCCCAATAACCATCAGACATCAAGCTATGGCAAGGTTCTACATTCCATTTGTGGCTCTGGTTCTCGTTTCCGCTCTGCTCGTGCCAAATTTCTCAGGAGCGGATGCCCAGTCGTACATGGCGATCAAGGCGCAAGCGGCCCGGAAAACTGCTAACGACGCGGAAGCTGTGACGAACGCAACTCTGGCGGACTGCAACAGCAAGCTCAAGGCGGAGGCTGCGATTCAGAAGATCATAGACGACGCTAACGCTGATTTGAATAACACCCAGTCGAATCTCGCAGCTAAGAAGAAGCAGCTGGACGTCGCGAAGACAAAGGCCGAGCCAGCACGTCAGGAAATGGTGAAGCTCCGAGCAGCGAGGAGCGCGGAGCAGGAGTACCACGACGAGCTTGAGCAGCAAGCTTCCGAGTCGATCGTGGACGCGACAGAGCTGGCCAAGGACGTCGTGCCTGCGAAGGAGCAACTGGACCTCGCGAATCAGCTGCTCGCGGATCAGATCCTCATCGCCAAGGAGGCCACCGCCGACTCCACCTACTACGCGCGACGCGCCGCGAAGCTCAAGACTCCAGAAGCGCAGGCATTAGCCGCGGAAGCACAGTTAGCACGCGCGCAGGCGAATCGCATCCAAGGGGCGCTTGCGAAGCAGGTGAATCTTGCGAAGGATAACTTGGAGACGATGCAGTCCGACTTGGCCTTTGCGTTGAAGGACAAGGTCGACACCAGGAAGGCGGTGGACGAGCATCTGGTTGACCTCAACAAGGCGAAGAAGGACGCGGGAGACGCGGAAGCGACATACACCAAATACGTGAGCGACACGAAGATGCTGCCCTTGGTTATCAACCAGCTCACGGCCGACGTTAAGGCGAAGACGCTAAACACGGCTAAGGTCTTGAAAGATAACAAGGTGGCGCTCGGGCAGGCTGCTTCCGCTCGCGCTCAGGCTGAAATTATCTACAAAAACACCAAGGCGAAATCCGATGCGCTCAAGGCTGTTGCGACCCAGGCGGAAGCGGACTCCGCGGCTTACGACAAGGCCCACTCTGTCAACTGGAACACCGGCAACGGCAACAGCAACAGCGGCAGCACCAGCACCAGCGGCAGCACCAGCACCAAGGGCACCCACTAAAAACGATGTCGTGCACACGTCACGGCAGTAAAGCTTCGAGCGTATTCTCCGAGAATAGCGAATGCCTGGGGCTAGTGTGCCCTCCTAGGAGCTCTGCCCTTGGTTGGTCTGTTAGGGCTGCGCATTCTGGAAAATAAAAGGCATTGTAACGCTTTCATTATTATAGTTCATTCTATTGTATCATTGGTCAGGGAAAAAGTGGACATCCATATCATGCTGCGGCTGGACTTATAAACTGACGGCTGAACTTGCAATGTAAGGAGGCAAGCGGTTACTTGCCAAAGAAAAGAATGACGTGATCGTCGGCGAGGACTGCTAGTGCCTGCGCACGACAGCTGGTAAGAAAAACAACCCTGGATGATGCCGTGAAAATATGGATGAGGCATCGTTCACGCCAAAATCGGCCACGATACTGAGACTTCGACAGCTCGATGAGTTCCATAAGCCAAGGCGATGGAGAACAAAGTGTTGTCGACACGAAGGCTTAACACAGCATTGAGGGGTTTAGGGAAGGTTGAGCTATCCACTCTGCGTCAGCAGGGAGGCTCCGACTGCCCTGGTTATCGCCCGTCACGACCTAGTAGTGTCTCTCCCGGAACGCTGATTGGCTCGCCATTCTGTCCACCCGAGGGGCTTTCCTCCTTGCGGAGGTCTGTAGACTGACCTGGTATCTGCACGACATCCGACGATTTCCAGTTCAAGGCGATCGCTGGGGTTGACGAGGTGAACGGGGTGTTGAGGAGGTCCTTAGTAGTCTCTGTTGACGAGGCACTGCCCTATATCCCAGTCTACGTAGGGTGGAAATGGACGTCCTGGAAGCCGCGCTGAAACCGTTGAATCATTATCACCTCTTCAGGCCGAGTGATGGTCGTTAGGAAATAAAGCGAGATGGGAGGCGAGCGCACGAAATTATATGGGGGTGGCTTCGACGTTGATGGGAAAGACCTTACTTCTTCAGGTGTCAGCAAAGAGCGCCAGGCAAAAGCAGAGCAGCGGCAGGCTTGAACTAGGGAGGTGATGCACAACAGGGATGCTCGTTGAGAGCGCGAGACTTGTGCAAGCGAGTGTTCCTGCATGATGGAACGGAGCAGGTGTTGATTGGAGAATTGCTTTGCGAGCTCCGGTTTTCCCGCCAGGTGGCTGTTCCGCTTGTGTCGCAGATGAGCGAAAACGCCAGGCGAATCCGCGAGGAAGTACGAAGCGTGGCGAAGTGAGTGCAGCCATGTTCAGGGATTTCCCAGGATGCATGGTCAAATGTGCCACCGGTAGTCACGCTGAGAGCGATGGCAGGCCTGGTCGCAGGTGCAAATTCCGCCATTCACTCTTGTGCGCATGCTTCGGTACAGTACGGACTCGGCCACATGAGCGAGCAAGCGCTGGTTCGGAATGTGTGGGGTGCAGGTTATACATGATGTAATCTATGTTATATCAACCCATGCAATCAATAGAAGTGAAGTTAATGTGTTGGGGGTTGTTACGAGCGCAATAAATGAAGTGCGCAAGGATTGCACAAAAGATTCAAACAATTACAAACGTTGATGTTATAACTGAAGGATCGTAGTGGATAGGATAAAGTTGCCAAGTATAAAGAAGAGAATTGTGAAGTCTCTGTAATGACCTTGTTAGAGAATTGAAAGAGAACAAGATGATTATAAGGTATGAGTATGTCAAAATATATGCATATCATTATCTAGGCTATATTGGGGATAGCCTTAGGGGGTAGAAAAACTTTCTCGATACCCTAGTCTTGTACCCAAACCTTCACCTAATCTACTCATTCTTGCCTTAGTTCTTAACATGGTAACTAGAGCAGGAGGTCTCTAGGACCTACGAATCGGGCCCACCTAACTGCCTGCCTTGCCTACTGCCCCCGCGCGCCTCGGCTGCAGCGCGCATCACTTTTTTTTTCGCGCGCGCCTCGCATACTAGCGCGCGCGCCACTGTTTTTAGCGCGCGCCACTGCTGTAGCGCCGCGCGCCGGCCCGCGTCGCCCGCGCAGCCCGCGTAGAGCCCGCGTAGAGCCCGCGCAGCCCGACGCCGTGCGCAGCCCGACGCCGTGCGCAGCCCGCCGTCGCCCCGCGCGCCGCGTCTGTCGCCAGCGCGGCCCGCCACTGCGCCGCGCGTCGCGTCGGCCGCCTGCGCGGCCCGCAGCTGCTTAACGCGCTGCCTTAGGAGCTCGCGTGCGGCCGCTCCTGCCTGCTGCCTGCTGCCTGCTGTCTCCTGCCTGCTGCCTGCTGCCTGCTGTCTCCTGCCTGCTGTCTCCTGCCTCTGTCTTTGCTTGTGGCCTAGTGCCTGCTGCCTCTTGTGTGCTGCCTGCTGCCTCCTGCCTCTGCCTGCTGCCATTATGACGACGCCTAACGTTCTCGCGTTCGAGCCTGACGGTCGCCCCATAGAGTTCGCTGTGTGGTTAGATGATCTCCAACTGTTCCTTCTGACCGATGCCAAAGAGGGCGTTTCACTGTTCGATTACGTGTCTGGCACTGCCGTTGCTCCTGCTGCCGATGCTCCTGCTCTCGACCGCTCGTAATGGCAAACTCGTGATGCTGCTGCACGCCTAGCTATTAGGAACCATATGCCGATTACTGAGCGCGCGCATTTCAGCCAGCACAAAACTGCTAAGAAGCTGTACGACGCTGTAGTTGCGCGCTACTCCTCCCCGGCCACTGCAGCCATAGGTCGGCTCATGCTACCCTACCTGTTCCCCGACCTTTCCTCGTTCACCACTGCTGAGGACCTCATTTCCCACCTGCGCGCTACTGACACTCGCTTTCGTGCCGCCCTTTCAGCCGAGTTCTGCGCCGCTAACCCCCCCCCGATGTACTTCACTCTCTATTTCCTCGTCACCCGCCTCCCTGACACTCTTAGCTCAGTCAGGGACCACTTCCTCGAGCTAGACCCCCCCACTCTCACTGTCGACGACTTCGAGAAGCACCTCCTCGCAGCAGAGAAGAACATCCTCGCTGTAGGTGCTGCTCGTGGCACTCCTCGCTCTCCCCTCTTTGAGGGGTGCTCCCCCTCCCCTCTCACCCCCTCCTACGCCTCCGCAGCTGCTGCTCACGACTACCTTGGTGCTGAGGAGGTCGGAGCTGCTTCCGCTCCTAGTGGGAAGCGTCGCAGCGGCAGGGGCGGCAGGGGTGGCAGGGGCGGTGGGGGTGGCGGTGGAGGTGGCAGTGGTGCAGGCGGCGGGGGAGGTGGAGGTGGTGGGGGTGGTCGTGGGGGTGGAGGCGGTGGAGGTGGTGGTGGGGGCGGCGGAGGCACTGGGAGCGGTGGAGGGGGTAGCAGCGGCGGTGGGGGAGGAGGGAGCGGTGGTGGTAGTGGTGGTCAGGGCCAGCAGCAGCCGCAGCAGCAGCAGCGTCAGCGCCAGACCCCCACTTCCCAGCAGCTTCTTGACTGGTATGCCCGGCGTGGGGCTTCTGGGGGTCCTGGTCGCTGCCCCTATATCATTCGCACAGGTCCCCGCACTGGTCGCCAGTGCACAGGTTATCACACTGAGCAGCGCTGCTTCGCTCGGCTTAGCGACGCCTGGCGTGCCAAGTTTCCTGATGCTCCTGAGTTCCCCAACTGGGCAGAGCTACTTAGGCGTGATGTACCTATCTTTGATCTTGACTATGAGGCTATTCTTGCTGCTATGTATGCATTGTCTGTTAGTGCTGAGGGTGACTGCTACTTGTGTGTGCCGCCGGATCCTGGTATAGTCCCTGGTATAGCGCCTGCAGCACTAGGTGCTTGTGAGTCTGCTCCCCCTGGTACTGCGCCTGCACAGGCCTTGCACACTTTTACACTTGACTCTGGTGCTTCCCGCTGTTTCTTTCGCGACAGTACCAGAGTCACTCCCCTCCCTGCACCTGTTCTTGTCTCACTAGCTGACCCCTCTGGGGGCCCAGTGCTTGCACGGTCTTCCACCGTGCTTCCGTGTCTGGCGGTCCCGTCTGGTGAGCTATCTGGTCTCCACCTCCCTCGTTCTCTACGAACTTGGTGAGCAACGCTGTCCTCCAGGATGTGGGGGTTGACACCTTCACCCCTGGCCGGCAGCGTGTGGCGATTTGCACGTGCTCCGAGACCGGCCGCCACCTGGCCACGTTCACCCGTGCGCCAGGGTCCAGTCTGTACACCCTCACCACTGAGTCACGCTCCACCCGTTTGTCCCCCCAGCTGCACGCGTCTGCTCAGGTTGCTACCCAGTGTGAGTGTCGTCGGATGTCTCACGACACCCTCCTGTGGCACCACCGCCTTGGTCACCCCTCCCTACCTTGCCTGCGTAGCATGCACTCTCGCTTCCTGGTCTCTGGTCTTCCCAGGTCTCTGCCTGCCCTCCCTCCCTCGCCTGCGCCGCCCTGCATTCCTTGCGTCGAGGGGCGGCAGCGCGCCGCTCCTCACTCCTCCTCGTTCCCTCCCACAGAGGCTCCCCTGCAGACTCTCCACCTGGACGTGTGGGGCCCAGCCCGCGTCCGTGGACAGGGCCACGAGCGGTACTTCCTGCTGGTTGTCGACGACTACACGCGTTACACCACGGTCTTCCCCTTGCAGCGCAAGGGGGATGTCCCTGATGTTTTGATCCCCTGGATCCGCGCTGCTCGTCTCCAGCTCCGCGAGCGGTTCCAGTCGGACTTTCCTGTCCTGCGTCTGCACTCTGACAGAGGTGGTGAGTTCTCCTCAGACCTCTTGGCGGCCTTCTGTGCGGAGCACGGCATCTGCCAGACTTTCACGCTTCCGACCTCTCCGCAGCAGAATAGGGTTGCTGAGCGCCGCATTGGCTTGGTCATGGAGGTCGCTCGTACCTCCATGATCCATGCAGCTGCCCCCCATTTTCTGTGGCCGTTTGCGGTCCGGTACGCCGCGCATCAGCTCAACCTCTGGCCCCGTGTCTCCTTGCCGGAGACCTCGCCCACACTGCTGTGGACGGGGAAGGTTGGCGACGCGTCGCGTTTCCGGGTCTGGGGTGCCCGTGCCTTTGTCCGCGATACCACTGCGGACAAACTCTCCCCTCGCGCCATTCCTTGTGTCTTCCTTGGCTTTGTCCCTGACGCGCCTGGCTGGCAGTTTTACGACCCCGCCTCGCACTGTGTCGTCTCAGGACGTCACGTGCGACGAGTCGGTCCCCTTTTACCGCCTCTTCCCCTACCGCACTGCTCCTCGCCCCCTCCCGCCGCTCTTTCTCGCCCCAGGTCCTCCCCAGGTAGACCCCCTCCCTGCGCCAGGTCCTGCTCCTTCAGGTGTTTCTCAGGTAGACCCTCCCGTCCCTGCGCCTGTTGAGGTCAGTGGTGACTCCGGTTCTGCTGGGAGTGGTGCTGTCCCTGGGGGTGCGGAGCTTCGGGGTGTGCAGCGTGGGGGTGCTGAGTCTAGGGGTGCTGAGCGTGAGGAGCCTGAGGGTGCGGAGCCTGGAGGTGCTGAGCCTGCGCGTGAGGAGGCTGGAGGTCCTGAGCCTGGGGGTGCTGCGTCTGGGGGTGCTGCGCCTCCGTGTGCGGAGCCTGGGGGTGCTGGGTCTGGGGGTGAGTCGCCTGAGGGTTCTGAGACTGCTGTTACGCGGTCTCCTTGGAGTAGCCGTCTTCGTCCGCGTGTGCCTCTCACCTCCCAGCAGCTGCACGACTGGTACGGTCGCCGTCAGCGTCGAGCTTCTGCACCTCAGGGCTCTACTGCTGGGGGTTCTTCTGCTGGCGTCACTGGAGCTAGGAGTGGTGTTGGTCCTTTGCCTGCTGGAGGTGCTGGTGTCGCTGGTCCCGGAGGTGCTCGTACTGGGGGTACTAGAGCTACTGGGGCTGGCGGTGGTGTGTCTGAGGGTACTGCTGCTGGTGGCACTGCGGTTGGAGACCCTGGGATTGGGGGTGCCGGTTCTGGGGGTGCTGCACCAGGACGGGCTGGAGCTGCTGGGGGTGCTGGAGCTGCTGGAGGTACTGGAGCTGCTGAGGGTACTGGAGCTGCTGGAGGCGCTGGAGCTGCTGGAGGTACTGGAGCTGCTGAGGGTACTGGACCTGCTGGAGGTGCTGGAGCTGCTGAGGGTGCTGGAGCTGCAGGAGGTGCAGGAACTGCTGAGGGTGCTGGAGCTGCTGGTGCTGGTGGCACTGCACAGCCGCGCCTATTCTTTGCTCCGCCGTCTCCGTCGTCTCTGCCACTGCCTGACTCCGTGCTTCGCCAGATTCTTAGCCTCCCGTCGTCTACTGGTCTTCCGTTACAGCCTGGCTCACCTCTGCCTGCTCCTTCCTTACGCTGAGCAGACAGGGGGCCTTACTGAGCGCCGTGAGCCTGCGCCGCGTCCTGTCTCACCTGTCCGTTCTGGTCGTTCCAGTTGTCGTGTTCCTCGTCAGCGTCAGCCGGCTGTCCCCGGCCCTTCCCTTGTTGTTCGTCGTCCTTCCTCTCCTCCGCAGAGTGTTCCTCTGCCGTCTCCTCCTGCGTCTTCTCTGCCTGTCGTTGCGGACCCTGAGTCTGACCAGTTTCGTACTGAGCACCCTACTGTCACGCGTCTGCTAGCCACTGTTGTCACTGACCCGTCGTTTGAGTCCACTGCTGTGTCTGCCCTAGTCGCTGAGCTTGTCGACTTTGCTGCTGCCTGTCGTCTAGACTACGTTGATAGTCTTGTTGCTGAGTCTGAGTCTGTCTGTCCTCCGTCCGTCGGAGGTGAGTGTGCTCTTAGCACGGACGTCCTTGAGGACAGGCACGAGGACCTTGAGTGTCTTGCGGCCGCTGCGCCTCATCTCGTGGCCATGCTGCTTGCCCCTGAGGGAGACCCGGATGCACCAGACATCCCGACCCCGCGCTCTTACGCTGAGGCGATCGCGGGTGAGTACTCTTCTCCGTGGTAGACAGCCATGGACGCAGAGATGGCATCCTGGAAGTCCACAGGCACGTACGTCGACGACGTTCCCCCTCCTGGGGCGAACATCGTCAGTGGCATGTGGATCTTCAGGGTGAAGCGGCCACCAGGTTCTCCGCCTGTCTTCAAGGCTCGTTACGTTGCTCGAGGTTTCAGTCAGCGAGAGGGAGTTGACTTCTTTGTCACAATAGATTTATATCTATTTAGTATAATCTGCCTGTAGTGTAGTTGTTGTGTAATTCCTTTGTGTGGTGGTGCACATCTTTCACCTTTGTTAGGTTGCTATATGTACTCGTGTGCTATAGTGAACCTCCAACCATTTCTTCAATCCTCCTTGGCACAAACTACTCGACACCCGCTTGGCCTAGGCTACTAAGCCTAGGCCCTTAGTTAAACCCGTTCCTAGCTAAGTTCGTCTCGTGACATGGTATCGAGCGGTTCCTTTCCTAAGGACCGAATTTTTATGGGCCCACCACTAGCCTCTCGCTATGGCGTGCCCCGTTGCGCGGCCCGTAGCGCGCCTCGTGAGCGCTTCCTTGCCGCAGCCCATCGCCCACGCACTACCCGCTGCTTCTGCCCGTCGCCGACGCGCTACCCGCAACTGCATCCCGCCGCCCGCGCGATATCCGCTGCTGCAGCCCGTCGCCCGTCCCGTCGCACTGCCGCCCGTCGCCAGATCCCCGCCACCCGTACGCTCTCCGCTGCCCGTCGCCAGGTCCCCGCCCGCCCTCCCGTCGACTTCGCAATTGCTGTGAAGGGAGTGGCGGGAGTGGCGAGAGTGGTGGGAGTGGCGGGAGAAGCTGCTGCTACGCCCTTGCACGCGCCAGATCGTCCGCGACATGCACCCCGCACTCCGCCCGTCGCCCGTACTCCACCCGCACCCCGCACCCCGCCCGGCGCCCGTGCGCCACCCGCACCACGCACCCCGCCCGTCGCCCGTACGCCAGCCGCACCACGCACGACGTCCGTGCCCCCGTCCGCGAGACCCGTCCACACCCCGTACCTGCACCCAAACCGCCGTTCTGCCCCAGATCCCGCCCCCCCCCACCGACAACTGCCGCCCCACCCCATCTCCGGCTCCGTTTCCAGCGGGAAGGGGAGGATGTGTGGCCTGAAGGGGACGGCTGGGGGAGGGGGAGTGGCGGGGTTGGCGGCTCATGTAAGGGGGAGGTTGAGGGGGTGGGTGATCCATCTGCAGCTACTGCCGCCACACCTCCCCCTCTCTCTCTCTCCGCCGCTGCTGGATCAGGGGGTGTGGGTGGGTGAGTCCAGCTGCAGCACCAGCCGTCCCCTCCTCCTCTTTCTCACTCCTGCATCTGCTGCTGTTGGGGGGGAGGTTGAGGGGGTGGGTGATTCAGCTGCAGCACCTACCGCCACTACACCTCCACCTCTCTTTCTCCGTCAATGCTGCTGTGGGGGGAAAGGTTCAGGGGGTGTGGGTGGTGAGAGTTCATATGCAGCATCAGCCGCCTCCTCCTCTCATCCCCTGCCCCGTACCTCCCGTATTGCCCGTGCTTGCCCCGTGCCCGTGCCCGTGCTGTCTGGCCCGTGTTCCCCGTGCTTGCCCCGAGCCCATGCCCGTGCTGTCCGCTCGTGTTCCACGTGCCCGTGCTGTCCGTACCCGGTTGTGCCCCACCCGTTTCACCCGTGCGTCCCGTGCTTCCCGTGCTGCCCCCGTGCTCCTGTGCTGCCCCTGTGCTCCCGTGCTGCCCCTGTGCTCCCGTGCTGTCCCCGTGTTCCCGTGCTGCCCCCGTGTTCCCATGCTGCCCCCGTGCTGCCCCGTTCAGCCCGTGTTCTGCCCTGTTCTGCCCGTGTTGTCCCGTTCAGCCCGTGTCCTGCCCCGTTCAACCCGTGTTCTGCCCTTTTCTGCCCGTGTTGCCCCGTTCAGCCCGTGTCCTGCCCCGTTCAGCCCGTGTTATGCCCTGTTCTGCCCGTGTTGCCCCGTTCAGCCCGTGTCTGCCCCGTTCAGCCCGTGTTTTGCCCTGTTCTGCCCGTGTTGCCCGGTTCAGCCCGTGTCCTGCCCCGTTCTGCCCGTGCTGCCCCGTTGTGCCCGTGTTGCCCCGTTCAGCCCGTGTCCTGCCCCGTTCAGCCCGTGTTCTGCCCTGTTCTGCCCGTGTTGCCCCGTTCAGCCCGTGTCTGCCCCGTTCAGCCCGTGTTTTGCCCTGTTCTTCCCGTGTTGCCCGGTTCAGCCCGTGTCCTGCCCCGTTCTGCCCGTGCTGCCCCGTTGTGCCCGTGTTGCCCCGTTCAGCCCGTGTCCTGCCCCGTTCAGCCCGTGTTCTGCCCTGTTCTGCCCGTGTTGCCCCGTTCAGCCCGTGTCCTGCCCCGTTCTGCCCGTGTTGCCCCGTTCAGCCCGTGTTGCCCCGTTCTGCCCGTGTTGCCTTGTTCAGCCCGTGTCCTGCCCCGTTCAGCCCGTGTTCTGCCCTGTTCTGCCCGTGTTGTCCCGTTCAGCCCGTGTCCTGCCCCGTTCAGCCCGTGTTCTGCCCTGTTCTGCCCGTGTTGCCCCGTTCAGCCCGTGTCCTGCCCCGTTCTGCCCGAGTTGCCCTGTTCAGCCCGTGTCCTGCCCCGTTCTGCCCGTGTTGCCCTGTTCTGCCCGTGCCGCCCCGTTCTGCCCGTTTGTGCCCTACCCGTGCTGTCCGTACCCGTTCGTGCCCCACCCGGTCTGTGCTGCCCGGTCTCGTACTGCTCGTCACCCCCATGCGGCCCGTCCCGTACAGCACCTAGTTGCTACCCGAACCCGCTACCCGTACCCGTGCTCCTCGCACACCGTGCACCAGCTGCGGGGCGTTCAACCGCAGCCGGGCACCTGTTCCACCGCGGTGGTTCAGATGCTGCTTGGTGGTTGCTGCTTGTCAGCTTCAGAGGGGGCCCCTTGCTGGTGTTCCCACGCCCTGTAATGGGGTTTTACAGGTGTACCCCTTCAAGGGGGCTCTGCACATGGTTATGCACTTCAGGCAGATAGGGGGTGTGTCACAATAGATTTATATCTATTTAGTATAATCTGCCTGTAGTGTAGTTGTTGTGTAATTCCTTTGTGTGGTGGTGCACCTCTTTCACCTTTGTTAGGTTGCTATATGTACTCGTGTGCTATAGTGAACCTCCAACCATTTCTTCAATTCTCCTTGGCACAAACTACTCGACACCCGCTTGGCCTAGGCTACTAAGCCTAGGCCCTTAGTTAAACCCGTTCCTAGCTAAGTTCTTCCAGACTTTCTCCCCCACCCCGAAGATGACCACTCTTCGGGTGCTGCTGCACGTTGCCGCTCAGCGTGACTACGAGCTTCACTCTCTTGACTTCAGCACAACTTTCTTACAGGGCAGCCTGCACGAGGAGATCTGGCTGCGCCGCCCACCCGGCTTCACTGGGTCGTTCCCTCCTGGTACCCAGTGGAGCCTCCGGCGGCCGGTCTACGGTCTCCGCCAGGCGCCACGTGAGTGGCACGACACACTGAGGACGACACTTGCGGCTCTTGGGTTTGCTCCTCCGACTGCTGACCCGTCGCTGTTTCTGCGCACCGACACTTCGCTGCCGCCGTTCTACATCCTCGTGTACGTCGACGACTTGGTCTTTGCCACTGCTGACACTGAGGCTCTCACCCTGGTGAAGTCGGAGCTGCAGAAGAGACACACGTGCACAGACCTGGGTGAGCTGCGCAGCTACCTTGGCTTGCAGATCACCCGGGACAAAGCACGCCGCACCATCACACTGACTCAGTCACACATGGTGCAGCAGGTCCTTCAGCGCTTCGGCTTCACCTGGTCCTCAGCAGAGCACACTCCTCTGGCTACAGGTCACTTGCTCTCAGCTCCACCTTCGGACGAGTCCGTAGAGCCGAGTGGTCCTTACCCAAAGCTAGTGGGCTGCCTCATGTACCTGATGACCTGCACTCGTCCTGACCTTGCGTACCCTCTTGGCCTTCTGGCTCGCTACGTGGCTCCTGGTCGGCACCGAAAGGTGCACATGGATGCTGCTAAGAGGGTACTGCGCTACTTGTGCAGTACATCGGGCATGGGGCTCGTGCTTGGAGGGCGGAGTCCAGTTGTCCTCACTGGGCACTCAGACGCTTCTTGGGTTGACGACCAGGCTACACAGCGGTCGTCACAGGGTTACACGTTCAGCCTTGGCTCCGGCTCTGTTTCTTGGCGGTCTACACGCTCGTCTTCTGTTCTCAGCTCCAGTTGTGAGGCTGAGATCTACGCCACTGCCATGGCTGCACAGGAGTTATGCTGGCTCACCTACCTGCTGACCGACCTGGGAGAGCGGCCTCGTTCTCCTCCAGTTCTGTACGTAGACAACAAGGCCGCCATTGCCTTGTGTCAGGAGCACAGACTGGAGCACAGAACGAAGCACATCGCTCTGCGTTACTTCCTGGCTCGAGAGTTGCAGCAGCGGGGTCAGCTTCGCCTTGCTTACGTGGCCACTCGAGCCAACACTGCTGATATATTCACCAAGGCACTTCCGTCTGGTGACCATCAGCGCTTTTGTACTTTGTTGGGCCTTATGCCTACGTTTCCTCACTTGCTGTAGTCTTTGCTTGTACTGTGATCTATATATATACCTGCATGCTTGCTCTTGCTAGCTTGAGATCACTGTGCTGTTCTTGTTGCTTATATACCTCTGCATGTGGACTGGCCTTGTGGCCGTTTGCTTGTGCTCAGTGTGTGTGGTGACGTTGTGATCCACCATGAGCTGTGTTTTGTTTCTTCTCTTGACTGGTCTTGTGTAGCCCGCGTAGCCCGTTTTCGGCCCCGCGCGCCACGTCAGCCTCCCACGCAGCCTGCCGCCGGCCCCGCGCACTGCCCTGCACCAGCTACGCCGCCCCTGGAGCAGCCGCCCCTGGACCCAGAGCCGCTGCCCCTGGCTCCTGCAGCAGCCGCCCCTGGTGCAGCCGCCCCTGGATCCTCGAGCAGCCGCCCCTGGACCCAGAGCAGCCGCCCCTGGCCCCTACAGCAGCCGCCCCTGGTGCAGCCGCCCCTGGACCCTCGAGCAGCTGCCCCTGGACCCAGAGCAGCCGCCCCTGGCCCTTGAAGCAGCCCCCCCTGGTGCAGCCGCCCCTGGACCCTCGAGCAGCCGCCCCTGGACCCAGAGCAGCCGCCCCTGGCTCCTACAGCAGCCGCCCCTGGTGCAGCCGCCCCTGGACCCTCGAGCAGCCGCCCCTGGACCCAGAGCAGCCGCCCCTGGCTCCTACAGCAGCCGCCCCTGGTGCAGCCGCCCCTGGACCCTCGAGCAGCTGCCCCTGGACCCAGAGCAGCCGCCCCTGGCCCCTGCAGCAGCCGCCCCTGGTGCAGCCGCCCCTGGACCCTCGAGCAGCCGCCCCTGGACCCAGAGCAGCCACCCCTGGCCCCTGAAGCAGCCGCCCCTGGTGCAGCCGCCCCTGGACTCCGTGCAGCCGCCCCTGGACCCTGCGACGCCGCCCCTGGTCCCGCGACGCCGCCCCTGGACCCCGTGCAGCCGCCCGCCGAGCGCCGGCCCTGCTCGCCCGGCGAGCGCCTGCTCTTCCCACCACTGGTGAGCACCTGCCTTGTTAGCGCGCTGCCGCGCCATCTGCCTGCCTGCCAGCCTGCCTGCCTGCCTGTCTGCCTGCTTGTCTGCCTGCCTGCCTGCCTGCCTGCCGCGCCTGCCCTGCCCGCGCTGCTACTGCTGCTACTTCTGTTACTACTGCTAGGCTACTGCTGCTACTGGCGGTGGCCGGATGCAGCGCCAGCGACGTCCACGCGAGTCTCTCCCGCCCCAGCAGCTTCGTGAGTAGTACGCTAGTTGGGGTTGTGGCGGTAGCCGTCGTAGCTGTCGCCCTGGAGGTGGTCAGTTAGGAGCGTCTGGCAGTGGCCAGCTGCAACTGCAGCGGCGTCCACGCGAGACACTTACGTCCCAGCAGCTTCACGAGTGGTACGCTCAGAGTAGAGGGTCTTTGAGTACCGTTCGCTGCCCGTACGTCATTTGCACAGGTGATCGGACTGGTCAGGCTTGCGGGACGCTTGGTCACACACAGTCCCGCTGCTTCGCTCGTCTGAGTGACGCCTGGCGTACCGAGTTTGGCGACGAGGCTGAGCTCCCCACCTTGCTGGAGCTGCTTAGGCAGAGGGTAGATATCTTTGCTCCTGACTATGATGCTATTCTCACTGCCATGTATGCATTGCCTACTAGTGCTGACGGTGCCTGTTACCTGTGCGTACCGCCTGACCCAGGTATAGAGCCTGCTGCTCTAGGTGCTGGTGAGGCTGCTGCCCTAGGTGCTGGTAAGGCTTCTGCTCCAGGTGCTGGTGAGTCTGCTCTCTCTGTTACTGCGCCTGCTGAGACCTTGTACACCTTCACACTTGACTCCGGTGCTTCTCGCTCCTTCTTTCGCGACAGCACCACCCTCACGCCGCTCAGTCGGCCGGTTGCAGTCTCTCTGGCAGACCCCTCTGGGGGTCCAGTCCGTGCGACCTCCACCACTGTCCTCCCTTGTCCTGCTGTCCCGTCCGGCACACTGTCGGGTCTTTACCTCCACTCGTTCTCTACGAACTTGGTGGCGGGTTCTGCGCTCCAGGACGCGGGTGTTCACCAGTTCACCCCTGCCTACGAGCGTGTGACACACTGCATGTGTGCTCAGACGGGTCGTCACCTGGCTACCTTCACTCGGCAGCCGGGGTCGGGCCTATACACACTGACCACTGAGTCCCCTCAGGTAGCTGCGTCTGCGTCTGCGTCAGGTCAGCTGTCGCCCCCTTGCTCGTGTCGCACCCTGTCGCACCGGACGGTCCTTTGGCACCACCGCCTTGGTCACCCTTCGATGTAGCGCCTTCGTGGCATGCACTCCCGTTACCTTGTCTCTGGTCTTCCCAGGGTTCTCCCTCCCCTCCCACCCTCGCCTGCTCCTCCCTGACTTCCCTGTGTCGAGGGGCGGCAGCGCGCCGCTCCTCACTCCTCCTCGTTCCCTCCCACAGAGGCTCCCCTGCAGACTCTCCACCTGGACGTGTGAGGCCCAGCCCGCGTCCGTGGACAGGGCCACGAGCGGTACTTCCTGCTGGTCATCGACGACTACACGCGTTACACTACGGTCTTCCCCTTGCAGCGCAAGGGGGAGGTCCCTGATATTTTGATCCCCTGGATCCGCGCTGTTCGTCTCCAGCTCCGCGAGCGGTTCCAGTCGGACTTTCCTGTCCTGCGTCTGCACTCTGATAGAGGTGGTGAGTTCTCCTCAGACCTCTTGGCAGCCTTCTGTGCGGAGCACGGCATCCGCCAGACGTTCACGCTTCCGGCCTCTCCGCAGCAGAATGGGGTTGCTGAGCGCCGCATTGGCTTAGTCATGGAGGTCGCTCGTACCTCCATGATCCATGCAGCTGCCCCCCATTTTCTGTGGCCGTTTGCGGTCCGCTACGCCGCGCATCAGCTCAACCTCTGGCCCCATGTCTCCTTGCCGGAGACCTCGCCCACACTGCTGTGGACAGGGAAGGTTGGCGATGCGTCGCGTTTCCAGGTCTGGGGTGCTCGTGCCTTTGTCCGCGATACCACCGCGGACAAGCTCTCCACCCGCGCTGTTCCCTGTGTCTTCCTTGGCTTTGTCCCTGACGCGCCTGGTTGGCAGTTTTACCACCCCACCTCGCGCCAGGTCTTCCCCTCTCAGGATGTCACGTTCGACGAGCCGGTTCCCTTTTACCGTCTCTGGAGGTGGTCCTGCTCGGGGTGCTGCTTCTGGGGGTGCTGAGCTTGGGGGTGCGGAGCCTGGGGGTGCTGAGCCTGGGGGTGCGGAGCCTGGAGGTGCGGAGCTTGGGGGTGCGGAGACTGGAGGTGCTGAGCCTGGGCGTGAGGAGTCTGGGGGTGCTGAGCCTGGGGGTACTGAGTCTGGGGGTGCTGCACCTGGGGGCGCTGAGGCGTCTGGTGAGCAGTCTCCCTGGAGCGGCCGTCTCCGTAGTC